AACCATTGCGTTTTTAAGGATATCCAATGTTTGGCAAAGCTGCTTGTCCCAGAATTTGTATGGAAACTTCGCGGGAAAACCATGGTTGGGGTTTTAAAGCCATGGTTTCCTGCGAAGTCCCTCAGTTTTGATCCTTTTAGATCCCACTAACGGTGACACTCTGGTAAACCTTTACATAACAAACTGGAAAATCACCATTTTTCATGGGTAAATCAACGAACTAAATGGCCATGTTCAATAGCTATTTTGACATAACCAGAGGGTACTGGGTGATCTCATATGCATTCATATGCTCCATTTGGGTTTGTAAAATTTTATAAACCCAGAATGGTCCATCCTCCCATCCCCCAGTTCGGATCCCATTCGGATCCCACGTGTTTCCTGCGCCCTGCGGGCACTCGTTGAAGCCCTGCAGACTGCCCTGCGCCATCTGCGCACCAGGAGGCGAACCATCGAAGCTGAGCCTGGAGATGACCATCCACGACATGGATCATACGGATGGCTGGTTGGGAAACAATTTGGGATACAAAAATATATCATGGGGATACGAATAGTATGATACAAATGTATATGAGACAATGGGATATGATATGATATGATCATTTTGGGAATATATAGGGGAACACGATCTGAAAACATATGCGCCAAAATGGATGGTTTATCATGGAAATCCTATGAACCAATGGATGATTGGGTGGGGTACCCCCATGACTTAGGAAACCTCCATATGATAATCATCTGATAAATTTGGTATGTGGGTTTTTTTGATGTATGATATGGATACCAGGGAATATCGTTGGACATTCATGCTGAGATTTCCTATGTCAGCTAGGATCATCCTCCTAGTAATCGAACATGGTTGGCTGGAAAATTCCCACTTTTGTTTGATGGTTTGCCCAGTGCCAATACATGGATACAATGGGATACGATGGAATTAGATGGGATATTATGGAATATAACTATATAATGGAATATAATATAACTATTACTATGATGTAATATAGTGGAATAACATGTGGATAATCTGACAACATATATATATATATAATTATATAATGGCTGGAAACAAGTTCCATGATTTCCCGCTGATCACTGTCTAAATCATTGGTTGCTTGTCCATGATCACCCATTTGGATAGATGATAAGAATTCACTAGCCTCATCATCCATATCTATCTATATATATATATATATAGATATATGGAGGTTTCCACAAATGGGGGATCCCAAAATGGATGCTTTATAATGGAAAGCCTATTAAAATGGATGATTTGGGGGTACCCCAAATTTTAGAAAACCTCCGTATATGCATATTTCACATCATGTATCCGGATGCATAAAGGACACTGAAAAAATAGGTGTCCAATCCATGTGATTCCATGTGTATATATATATATCCTCATTATTTTCTATTGATCACCATATACATCACTAGAAGTTTCCATTCTCATGCCACATATGTGGTTCAACATACTAAATCCCTAGATTTTTTAAGTATCAGCCATAAATCACTGCATGTATATATATATATATGTGTTTTAATAAATCACTACAAATCACTATGCTGTTTTCATAGTCATCCCCACTATGTCCCCATTATATCCCCAAAAGTCCCCATTCATCCAGATATATACCAGTATGTATAATTGATGATATGTTCCATTAATCACTATACAAATCATTATAAATCACTATACTTTTTTGTTATCATCTATTGTCATCCATATCATTCGTATCCCCATGTTAGTCACTATAGGCTAATAGGAGGTTTCCGAAGTCATGGGGGTACCCCACCCAATCATCCATTTTTATTTTCGGTTTTTCCGTGAAATAAACCAACCAGCTATTGGTGTATCCCCACTGTGGAAACCCCCAGGGTGGTTGGTTTCTGCCAAGATTGTGGAGATTTTCCGTATTAATCACCATAATCAGTTGTCACAGTTATCACAATAAAATCATCACCATCACAATGTCAGAGCTATCACCATAATCATCACTAAATCACTAAATTATGGTTGTGTTATCACTAAATCCACCTATAATCTATTAACATTAATAGTGTTCAATGATTCCCAATGATCTACCTAGATTCGGGTTATTTCATGGAAAATCCATCTATTAATGGATGACTGGGGGTACCCCCATGACTTAGGAAACCTCTATATGAAATTATATAACAAATAATTTATATCAATGATATATATATATATATATGAGCAGGGACCCCCACACCCCCCCCCCTCCCCAGCCAGATGGTTCCCCCCACCCCCTGTGGCAGGGGAGGGGGGGTTTTCTCAGCAGCCAAGCGGTGTCTGTAGTCTTTATAGTGCATATAGTGCATATGTATCGATAATTAGAATGGATATACTATATGCAATATAGAGTGTATGTGTGGTGTGTATATATATATATAAACATATATATATATAATATGTAAGATATAAATAGAATATATGCAATATATATATATATATAAAATATAATATATATATATATAATATATATAATATATATAATATATATAATATATAATATGTACATAATATAATATATATATAATATGTATATATATATGATATATATATATATATATATGATATATATAAATATATATTTGACATATATATATATATATGACATATATATATATTGAACATATATATATATATCGTATATGTGGATTTTGATAGAATATAGATAGTACATGCCACATGTACTGTATCCACAGTAGATGTAATATATACAATATAGGTAAATATGTTCGTTGAATAAATTTTACATAGTATATGTGGTATATTGAATATCGACAGCAATACACGCTGTATATCTAGAGTTTATGTATATATATATATGTGTACAGTATGTACAATATAAACGAAATATGTGATAGATACAAGATCAAGATATCAATATGTAGTATCTAGAATGTGCATATATATATATATTTATTTATTGTTTTTCTACTGTACATATGTCTAGGTTTGCATAGGTAAGCTTTGCGTAATCCATAGGTAGCAAATATGTTGTAAACCATGTGCGAGGCACGCTATAGGCGGTTCGAAAAAAAGGTTATGATAGAAGTATACAGGTAGACAAGGTCCGTTGACGAGGTCGTGGCTCTCAAGTGCTGCAAATAACGTAGAGATGCGAGGTTGGAGGGGTGGAAAGGGGAGTATATATGTGAATGTGTATGTATATGTGCAAATAACATGCAAATACTAGGTTTTGGGGGGGTGAGGGGGGTGGAGTGGGCGGGGTGATACCCATTGTGGTGGGAGGGGGGGGGTTGGGGTCCGGGGACCGGGCTCATATATACATATCAATAAATCACCGTAAATCACCATTGTCCATGATCATCCCGTCCCGCCCTGTTGGCGTCCCGCCTGGACCGCGGCGTGGACGCGGAGGCCGTATCAATGGTGGACATGCCGGGGATGGCTTCCACGTCCTGAGAGCTATAAAAATATCCTGGGAATATGATCTGAAAAAGGATGATGCATGGAGATACAGTGGGAATATGGATGTTCTATGGATGATATACGGATGATATACGGATGATATATATATATATATACGTATCAATCTAGTGATCATATAGGCTAATTTAGGTATATGGAGATATAATGGAGTAGCTGAGTTGGGAAAACAAAGATGAACCATTTTAACCACTGAAAAATGGTTTGAAACATCTATACAAAAATTTGGGGAAAGAGTGGCATATGATTTATATTTTTCAAGTGATCAAAAGCCTCTATTGTTACATCATATATATATAACATCAGCCATGGGAGACTGACATTGAGAGCCAAGCCAACCACGCCACGCACTACCTTCGACAAGAGCTTGAGAAGACACAAGAACCAGCCTTCCACAGTAAGAAGGCATATGTCTCAGATGAGATCTGGCGCATTCGTGATGAGAAAATCGCACATCGAAAGAAGCTCAAAGACCAGAGGCATCATCTCAAGTTCCAACTCTTGACGAGGTGTTTCAGAGCATGGAAGACGAGACGAGAAGATGCCCAAGCTGATCTTTTCTTCAACCATGAAACCACGATTCTTTGTTACAACTTTCACACATATGTCCTGTACAAGAGCGTTTGCAAAAGACTCAAAGCTAAATTGATCACGGCCAAGCATACAGAGCTCAATGAGGTCTTGTACAACATCGACCCATCCACGCCGGCATCATCAGTTTTGAGAACGTTACGCCGCTTTACAGGACCAACGAACCCAAAGAAGCAGAAGAGAGCCAACCTGCCAATTGTGTCGGATGAGCAGAGCACATCTTGTGGTCTGCCCAATGACGCTCTTGCAGTATGGGTACGCTACTTCCAAGACATGGAAGCCGGGGAGAGAATGTCCATGCCGCGACTTCGCCAGCAGTGGATCACAGAGCTTCAACAATTTGCCCAATCTTCGCTCTTGGAGCATTTCGAAGCCCTACCCTCATTGACAGAACTGGAGCTAGCATTGAGGAGGGTACCACGAGGCAAAGCATGTGGACCTGATGGACTACCGGGGGAGCTCTGTCATTTCTTCCCAAGCTCCGTTGCAAAAATCTTGTTTTCACAGTTGGTCAAATTGACACTTCATGGACAAGAAGATCTCTCTGCGAAGGGAGGCTTTGTGGCACCGATTTACAAAGGCCGTGGACCCATTGATCGATGTTCGTCTTACAGATCCATTTTAGTATCGAACCATCTGAGTAAAGCCATTCATCGATCGATTCGGCAAAAGCATGCGCCACTGTATGAACAATTTCTCCAGACACAACAAAAAGGCGGTCGCCAAAAGACCCCTGTGCAGTTGGCGATGCACCAAACGAGGGCCTTTGTACGACAAGCCAAGCAAGCGGGCCGTTCAGCCAGCATCATATACCTTGATTTGACAGAAGCATTCTACAGGATCATCCGTGAAGTTCCGATGGGTGGCTGTCCTTCCGACGAACTGGTTGCGCACATTATGACCAAGCTCCGCATGCCACCGGATGCACTGCATCAAATCCAGGAACTGCTTGCTGAACCGCCAGCCCTAGAACAGGCAGGCATGGGAGAAATGGACCGAAGATGTGCACGGGCACTGCACACTGGAACCCACTTCTGGCTGAAGAACCAGAGTGACGTGGTTCGAACTTGCGCAGGTACCCGACCTGGAGACTGACTGTTTTGCGGACTTCATCTTCAGTTTTGCATGGTCCTGTGTGCTCAAGAAATTGGAAAACTACATGCAGGAGACCCACGCACTGGTCCACTTCGAAGGGCAAACAGACCTCCCTCTGTTTGGTCAGGCATGCAACAATGGCCTTTGGGCGCCTTTCCTAGGCCCGACGTGGATGGATGATTTGGCGGTGTGCCTCCAATCTGACCTGCCCACTAGTCTGGTGTCCATGACAGGACATGTCACGAGCAAGCTCATTGACTTGTGTCACTACCACTGCATGCCCCGAATTTGGCCAAAGGAAAAAACAGAGATTATGATGATGTTCCGTGGACCGGGTTCCAGGAAGGCGAAAGTTGACTATTATGGTCCACACTCACCTGGCACTTTGCCAGTCCTGGGTGAACACGGCCTTCATCAAGTACAACTGGTCTCTGCCTACCGCCACTTGGGTGGTATCCTGCACCACACTGGTGACCAGCATGCAGAGATCAAAAGGCGTACCGGTATAGCCCATCAAGCTTTCAATCAGAACCGCAAAGTTGTATTTCAAAACACAAAGATTGACATCAGAAAACGTTGTGAACTGTTTGAGATGCTGGTGCTCAGCAAGTTTCTGTACGGAGCAGACACCTGGATTGCCATGGACAATCGCACCATGGCGCGTTTCCAGGCATCCATCTTCAAGCTGTACCGAAGACTTCTGCAAAGGCAAGCTCAATGGCACATCTCGGATGAGGAAGTGCTCGACAAGCTTCGTTTGCCTTGCCCAACAGATCTCTTACGTCGTGCACGTCTTCGCTATTTTTGCACGTTGGTACAGATGATGCAATCTGACATCTGGGCTCTGCTGGCAAGAGATACAGAATGGATGGGACTTCTGGAACAGGATATCCTATGGATGTGGACGCAATTGCGCAATTCCTCGGGGTTACCTGATCCCAGAGAAAACTTGGATATTGGCGAAACTTGGTTCTCCACAGTCCAGGGTATTGGAGACGTCTCATCAAGAGAGCAACCCAGCATGCAGTTCTTCAACAATCCCGACAATATAGAGTGAGATTGACACACAGGAAAGCTCTGGAATGCCGGCGCAAGATGCTGATCGAGGCACCACGTTTGCAGACATCTCACGAGATGGAGGAGGAGGAGACCGAGGCATTTGGATGCCTGGGTTGTGGCCTTCACTGTGTCAACAAAGCTGGCGAAGCTGCGCACATGTACAAGGTGCATGGGCAGCCATCCAACCTGAGACCGCTGTTCGATGAGCCGACATGCCCAGCATGTCTGCGTCATTATCACACCATGCGCAAGATGAAGGCACATCTGTACTACAGTGCAGTATGCCGAGATCAACTGCGCTCCTGTGGCATTCAATGTGGACTTGTACCAGGAGCAGGGTCGCGTGAAGATTGTGAACGTGCTGCAGACCATGACCGCCTTCTTCCACCTCTACAAGGACAAGGTCCCAGAGTGGAGTCTGGCTTACAGAGACATTTTCTTGATGAAGGAGTACATGATTTCATTGTGACGGCGCTGGAAGAGCACTGCACACTGGAAGAATTGTCCTCGAGGGTCCGAGAGCATGTGCGTGGCCTTGCTTTGTCTTGGACCCGTTTTACGTGCACCATCCAGTATGTCTTGGACCACTTTGAACAGCAGGATGCGGAGTTCTTTGGCTATGATTTGAGACAACTGCGGGCTGTCTTATCGAGGCTGAGAAACCCGGCTTCCTGGCCCTTTCTGCAGTGCAGTCAGCAACATGAAGCGCCTTTACCCAGTCTGCAGCATATGGAGGATGAATGCAGATTGCTAGAGGATTTCATTGAACGCAACCCTGATCGAGTTGTTCAAGTCCCTCGTGAATTCGGGCGACATAGAGTCGTCCTACATGCGTTTTCAGGTCGAAGACGCCGAGGGGATGTGCAATTTTTCATGGACCTGCTCGCCAAGAAGCAGGACAAGTATATTTTGCACGTCGTATCGATGGACGTGATCGTCAGCAAAGAATGGGGGGACGCCACATGTCCTACCACATGTGAATTTTGGTGGAGGGCGATTCAGCAGCGACATGTGATCGCCTTCAGACCGCCCTGCGAATCCTGGTCTCAAGCCAGGGGCCAGCAGACTGGACATGAGGCGGAGGATATGGCGGCGAACCCTGCATCGAAACATGGACCTCGGATCATCAGAACCATCCTTGAGCTTTGGGGAATGGACTGTGTCTCCCTGAAGGAGCTACGACAGCTCTGTGTAGGGAATGACCTGCTCTTCTTTTCCATCCTTTGCATCATTGCCTTGATCGAGGTTGAGGGATTTGCCATCATGGAGCACCCGGCGGAGCCGACCAAGGAGGAGGCGGCATCGATTTGGCGTACTGCGCTAGTGAGAGCTCTGATGGCTTTTCCTCAGGTTCAGTGTGTAAGATTTGCACAGGGTCTTTTAGGAGCTAAGACTCCCAAACCGACCAACTTACTCACTGTCAATTTGCCCCGCGTGCTTTTTCACCTGCATCAAGGTAGGATTTGTAAAGAGCTGCCAACTTCAGTTGCGATAGGGCGTACTGAGACTGGAGTTTGGCGCACGACTGCCTTGAAGGAGTATCCTCCTGCGCTCTGTAGGTGCATGGCTGTGGCCCTGATGGAAGCTTTTGACCAGACACCGGTCGCTTCTCAGGCCAAAGACCCGACGAAGGAATTTCTTGATAGGTGCCATGACATGGTGATGACTTCATATGGTGATGAAATTGGTGCCGATTATGCTTTTTCCTGATCGGGTGGACGCTCAAGGGAGCGTGAATTCAGGTGCTTGGCCGCAGCGTAATGCTTCAGTGGGCTGGGAGTGAAAAAAAAAATATACTGATCGGTTTTTTGAGCGGGCCCAGTTCACGGATGATGATAATCCTTAACACATTAAGGGTAGGGATAACCCCCGAACTCATCAGCCGAGGGGTTAAACTTTGCTCAGCCGAGGGCTGTCTGATTTCAGCTGTCTGAAAATGGTGGGTTTAAAAGTAGCAATCTGTTGAAAGTGGATCATCTCTGCAGTGGATCATCCAAAAAGCGGATCCAAATTGCCTCTACCAAGAGATGTTTGTGGATTAAAACAGCAAAACAATGGAGCTATGGCAAAATTGGATATCAATCTTTATTGCCACCCTGGATGGTCAACCATTATTTAGTCGACTTGGCATTAAGAAATCTAAAAAACGTACCCCATTCTTTTTTAACAATGAGACTCTACCAAATATGGATAATAGTGTGAAACATTGGAATGATTTCGCCACTTGTTGCAACGCCTATTATATATAATATGTATATATATATATATAATGTACACAATGTGTATATATATATATATACAGTGTATATGTATATATATATATATACGGTAACCATACAAAATAGAATGCCTGCAAATCTGTTTCTTTTTCTGGTGCGGTTCCCCTCGCCATGGTAGCGGCCTTTGCGTCCGGTTGCTTCTCTGGAAGGACCATGGGCAAAGCTGAGCGCGGGCAACATGGACGATGGCTAGACAGGAGATGCAGCGAAGCGCTTGTGACAACTCCATCATTGATTTATATAAATCAATACCGAGTTATTCATTAAACAATATCATCACTTGTCATATTCAAATCAATATCTAAATATATGATAATATATGGTTGATCTATAAAATTTAGGGTGATATTGATTTGAATGACCCGGATTTCTGATACATCGAACTACAAGGTGAGGCCCCCAAACGCTTTGGACAGCGTTGAGTTGAGGCAATAACTTGGCTGACTGTTGGTATTAGGGGGATATAACATGATACAACGAACTAGTAGGGGGTGAAACTAAACCAACAAACATAGCTGGGGTGGGCCTTATTACACGTCGTTTTTGAAGGAAATGATCTTGCTGTTTTCCATGAATCTATGTTATCATTTACTGGGGGCTATCTGTTGAAATGGTGAAAATCTGGAAAAGACTTGGAACACGAGGGAAAATTGCGAGCAAAAATGTGGGCAAATGTGAATAGAATCTAGTAGAAATGTGGGAACATGTGCAAAACAGGATTAAAAATTGGAAGAGATATCCACACTGCAAATCATGAACCTCAAAAAAAATATAGCCAGCTAGTGTTTCATGGTGATCTTCAAGTGGGACCTCTACTTCTTGGAGTGGAAGAAGTGATCGTCCATAACAAGGCTCCCTCATGATGAGCAAAAACACCGTGAAAAACAGTGTACCACTGGACGCCAACATGTTGGAGCCAATGAAATTCAATTCATTCGGATGGGTTGAAACTTAACAATCCATACTGTAATGTTATTAATGGGTAGAAACTCGGATGGCTTGAACATAACACCATTATTTGGAAGTCATACGGGATGTCAATGAATTTTACCATTACCAAATTTGCTGGCGACAGTAAATCCCAACTATTTTGCTATTCATTGTTTTTTTACTCGAATATTGTCCAACTATTATGGAGTTATAAATGGTATCAATCAATCCCAAAAAGTTGGATAACATTAGATTAACATTAGATTAAATTACATATTAGTTGATACTATTATGGTATATTATCCACATATTACCCTCTGGTAAACTAACATAGCTATGGAAAATCACCATTTTTAATGGGTAAATCCACTATAAATGGCCATTTTCAATAGCTATGTTAAATTACCAGATGGTAACAACACATCCATCAATCCCAACGATTTTCCATGCTTCACCGATCTCAAAAAACTGAGATCCCAAACAGGCGCCCTCGGCGCACGTACGCGCCATACGCATCCACGGCATGTCTAACCTCGAGCGACAGAGGTTTCACATGGGGCTGGTGGTTTTTATGGATGAAAACTTCAGGAAAATGTTTTTCAGTAAAGTCACGACTATAGTCATGATTCTTTGAAATCATGGAAAACTTCAGGAAAATGTTGAAGTTTTTAGTCACTCATGATGTCATGATTCTTTGATTTCATGGAGCTATAGAAAAATCCCCCAAGATGTGAAAAAAAAGAAAGTCAGTGACACATCTATGGGCCAAAATCTGAAAATACGGGAGCAAAATCCAGTGGTTTCTCATCATTTTCCATGTTGAAATGGCCCCAAAATAAGGTATTCCAGGTTTGAAGATCGCAGGGTCTTCCAGTAGCAGTAGCTGTGGGTGATCTACAAATGCCCACAGTATTCCAACTACTTTGCTTTTCTGATTCCATCAATTTTGATGTCCCTGGTGAGGTCGCTGTAAAATCGCTGATTTGCCCAGGTCTTACCGGTCTTACCCCCATTCAACAACCAAAACCACCAACCCTTCATCCAGGACGTCAATCCTGACGTCGCCCAGAAACAACGTCTTCGCGTCGGGCCGCTTCTCCGGCCTCGGCTGCGCTGCGCTGCGCCACGCTGTGCTGTGACATCCCTTCGCGAGTGTATCCATAGACTTAGTGGATCATCCCTATCGTTCGGTCACAGAATACACATATCTATTGATAAATACCTTAATTAATTTATTGATATGTCTCATGAAAAACATGTAATATTATATGTAGTATCATAATAATTTATCATATACAACATGGTCAAAACCATGGCGCTTTATCGTCCGGTCAAAACCCCGAGGCCCCGGGCTCTTTTTCCAGGCACAGCGCGATGAAACTCTTTGCCTCGGTGGAGATGTGCCTCCACACCTGGCAGCTCCGCCAGGTCGGCCGGGTCGGATGGCTATGGCCCAGCTATGGCGATGCGACCTGAAAACCTGGGGACCTGGGGATAAGGGACAAGTTCTGATGATCAATTGTGGCATATTTGATGATCATATGGGAAAGTTATTGTGGCGATAATTTTCGGAAAACCCAGCTTTCTGCAAGCTGCAAGCAGCTGCAGTCCCCTGAATGGGGAAGTCGTCAGTGGGAATCATCAGCCGTGAAACCGTGAAACATGTTTGAAAGCACCAAGCAGCTTTCAAATGGGCAGAGTATGGGATAATATGGCTATGGGTCCTGGGTCAAAATTAAAGTTCTGCGGGGCCACAGATTTTAGTATGTTTAGTCATTGTTTTCGTTTTAACCATCCAATTATTGGGTACCCAAGCTTGACCCCATACCCGTATTATATCATATTATCATATTATGATGCTGGGATAGTCAGTGGGTAATACATGGGATATGTTCCCCCAATATCTAAATGTGGGATAACAGGATTGCTCCCAACATCCAAATAAAAGGAGGCCAAAACATGTGTGCATAGACAGGTAGCATGACATATGTCCCACTGGTCTATGGGTTGGAGCCAACCTGTAGAAGATGGGCTTGAAAACCAACCCATACCAACCCCAAATTCGGCAGTTTCAGTTACTGGACCTCTGAGTAAGGGATGCTGGGCTGCTGACTAAGAAGAATCTAGATCATAGGGGATAAAACATGACAAAACCATATCAAATATGTGTTTGTTTTATTATGTATCTATCTTCCGACTATCCAAAACTGGGAAGCAAATCGACCATCACTCATCCTGTTGGAGCCATTCAACCCTTTAAGGATAGAGCAGATAATCGCCAATCGGAACCATCCTATGGGGATGTCCTAAGTCACAGTCGTCACCATAGGTTTCAATAGTCATGGTCATCCATGACGACTGGATGAGAACTGGGGTACCCCTATGACTTAGATTAAACTCCCATCTTCTTGTACATGTTACATGCCCTGGGTGTATTGATTCATATACCATATGAATCATATAATCATATACATATATTGTCTATATGTATGTGGTATAACAGCAAAAATCAACCGTAAACCGGTTTCCCAATTTGCCAATTTCACCAGTTTACCCCCCAAAAAGAAATTGCAAGTTACTGAATTGAGAACTGGTCATGTTTGCCGGGGGTTCCCACATTCATGAATTGACAACTTTAAGTTGCACACGTTTTTTAACTTCATCCATGGATGTTCCCATCCCTAAACGCACTCACCAGGATTTCCCCCATTTTTATGCTGATTTGCCATGGATCTTCACCCGAAACTCGCCTCTGTTGGCATAAAAACATAACCTTGGCGTACGCGGTGCCCGTACGAAGGACGGAGTTCTCATCCCCGTCATTGGTCGATAGGGGGTTTCACCGTCACGGTGTTGCAAGGGGTACCCCCAGTTTTAGAAACACACATGTTAGTGACTGTTAGTGGATATTCATGAGATTGTAATGTCAATATTTGGGATTTTAATGATGATATAATATTATATCAATAGTCTTCAGAGGATCATTGAGGATATGGGGTGTTCAAAGATGGAGGATTTACCCCTATGGCAATTCAAATGCGGAAAAGTAATTAGGTTTTAAAGCCATGGGATGGAATGGTGTATCCAATGTGTATCCTATGTTTTCAGAGAAATAAACAAGAAGACAAAAGAAAACGCATGAAAGGATGGACAATAAGACAACTTGTGACTTGTGATGTTCTTTTGGCCGAAGATGCTGGTATCCCGTTGCTTTCCACTTCTCTTTGGAGATGCAGTGGTGACTCTGTTCTTTTGGAGTTGGGGGAAAACATGTGGACGAAGGATATGGGTTGATATGGGGGTTTCCTGAAATATGGGGATTGACTACTTTTGTCGTGGCCGCGACAAAAAGTCTATTGTGTGAAATAGAGGTACCCGTAAATCATCCATTTTAGTAGGATGTTCCATTGTAAACCATCCATTTTGAATACCCCCATTTTAGGAGACCTCCATTTGGGTATGTATCAAATTTCAACCTCGCAATCTCCTGGGTCTTGGATGTCGCCACCACCCATGCCAGCAAGTCACGAGCATTTTTGAAGGCCAAATTGTTCGAAGGGTTCGTTACTCCTGCGGCTTTAGGCTTGAACAGCGAGGATACTGTGGCAAGCAAAAGCCTTATCCAAGTTGCCCGAAATGCAGCTTCTCAACCCTAAATCACCCAATATGACAGTCCACCTGAAATAAGCTGTTTCCGAGAGGCTTCCCATGGGTTCCCCCTCTCCAACCATTTTGCTGACACCATGTTGAGGTCGCTTTGTGGACGAAGCTTCCACGCCTTTGGAGGGTTCGAACGGCGAGTTGCCCAACAGCAGAAAGTACGAGAGAATGCCTTAGGCTCCACAAGTCAAGACAGTCAAGAAGAGAAAACCTTGTGGATGGATCCATTTTGGGTTTGTCCAAAAATGGAGGATGATGAATCCCTGCAAATTCTATATTTGTTCAAAGAAATTGAAGGATGTGGCGCCACGAATCATGGGAAGGGAACGGGCCATGGAGCACTCAGAGGCTCCGCCAAGCAGCCAATGGCCCAAACATCCGCTGCAGCACTCGGCACACTCAGAGGCTCCAATTGCTCAGGGGCCTGGCCATCGAGGGTGGGTTTCTCCATGGCTTTGTGGCTTTGTTCAATAGGAAACATACCAAAGTTTTCATGTTGTTTTCCATGTGTTCCATGGCAGTTCTCATTCAAACATACTCAAATAAAAAGCTGTTTTCTGGTTCAATTCTAGGATTTCTGACTTGAATTCCCTCCTGTTGATGATTAAATCCCCACGTATTATGGTTAAAACCAGTTCTGGGCCAGCAGGCATGGCATTCTTGTTGAGTAGTCATCAGGTTTTCCCTCAACCCAAAATTGGTTCCTTAGCGCAATTTTTACCGCTACATGTCGTTGTTCATTGGCTGTAAGCTGTGTATATATATACATCACAATATGTCTTAACCAGTTGGTATACCCCCATTGCAAAACCATGAGCCAACTTCCGACCATCTGTAATCACAATCATATCATGTCATATATCACATATCACAAAAATCATACAGTATATCACTCGCATATCATATATCATACATCAATATATCTCACATCTCATATCTCATATCATATGAATCAATGAATTGTGGAACCAGACATGTTAAGACCTCCAAAGACCATCGTTAAAAACCAGATGTTTGACACCTCCACCCACACCCAGCGATGGCGCCTGACAGAAGAGCTTGGAGGAGGTCAAGGGTTTCTTTTTCATATCATCCTTGTTGCTCTTCCGACCTGGGGAGTCATGGAAAAGGTCTGAAAAATGTATCATGTACGGAAAAATGTATGGAACATGTCTGAAAAACTATGAAAATGTATGAAACATGTAAGGAAAAATGTATGGAACATATCTGGAAAGGTATGAAAATGTATGAAAAATGTAAGGAAAAATGTATGGAACATGTCAGAAAAGGTATGAAAATGTATGAAAAATGTATGGAACATGTCAGAAAAGGTATGAAAATGTGTGAAAAAGGTATGGGAAAATGTATGGAACATGTTTGAAAAGGTATGAACATGTATGAAACAGGTATGGAAAAATGTATGGACCATGTCTGAAAAGGTATGAACATGTGAGAGGGATTCATGCGGATTTCGACGAAGTTAAATAGCGATTCCACCGGTTAAAAATGATCAAGAACGATGTCGAATTAACCGTCAAGGAACGTGATGCAACAATCAAAATGTGGATCTGATCATCAAAAAAGGCGGAGTGGAACCGTCAAAAAATTGCAAAGTCAGAACTCTAACTGATCCCTGATCCCATCTCCAAGACCAAAAAAAAGTGGGTTTTCTTGGTCCATGGCTCCATGGCAAAAATCCTCTGGGAATTTCCATCTGCCACCAGGGAACTACGCCCGGAGCGCGACGTCTGAGTGCTGGAGGTGCTGGAAACTCTACTGGTCCGCCTCTCTATCAAGCCTCGTTGTCGGGAGGGTGGAAGGTAAACCAGCGAAGCAATGGCGCGATATTCTTTTTGAGAAGAAAGGAGACAATGATTACACTATAAATATATATATATGTATATGATATGTATAATATATTATATATATAGTACACTATATACATCTGTCTATATGCACTGAGGTATCAACGTGTTTTTGCTGGAGTAGTTCACAATTGGACTATATACATTGGACAATTTTTGGGTAGGGTCTTCAAGTTTGAACCATGGCTGTTGGGCTGGGAACGAAGAAGACTGAAGTGGAATGGTGTTCACATGACGGGAAAATGTTCAGAAATGTTGCCGGAATGGGATGGGATGCAGAGTTCCTTTGTACATCTTTGTACTACTATCTAATCCAAGGAATTTGGGCTGGTTGACTTTACTCTTCATCTGGGTTTGCCTCAAGAAACGGGGGCAGCCACAAAACGGGCCATGTCTGGTTCTATCAAGCATCCATTTTTTGGAAATTACATCATCTAACCGACATCTTTGGGGCTAAATGTGAACAAATCAAAATAAATCATCTTGAAACATACCCATTTCGTGCCATTTCCCGTTCCAACAAAAATTGATGGAAAACCCATATGGGGCCCCCGCCTGGAGCGTTGGGGTAGCTGTAGCGCGTGGGTTTCCGCGGCGGTTCCCGGGCATATTTCTGCGCCAGGCCTTACAGATCTGGCCATATCGGATGGGGATCATGATGAACCGTCCCACTTGTGGGGTAGCCTATGTAAAAAGGGAAAATTCAAGGTGGCAAGTCAAATCCATCATTTTTTTGACGGAGTTTAAGTGGAATGAGGTGGAATGTAGTAGCCCATAGTCCCCCGGAACACATGAATCAAAGTGCTGAATGCCGCCCCAATGAACAGTTCCTACAAAAGGATCCAATACATTCCAATACTCAACTCTGATCATTTATTCTCAGTATCTAAGAAATGTCAAAAAATCACAGATCCAAGATTAGTCCTGGGATAATAATCCATAGGAAATCTTAGAGCTCCAACTAATAAATCTAGGATAATAATCCAGGATAATCCACAATCTATTTATCCTAGCAAAATAATCCATAAGAAATTTTAGAGCTCCAACTAATAATTTAATCTAGGATAATACTCCATAATAGTCCATAATTTATTTATCCTAGGATAATAATCCAAAGGAAATCTTAGAGCTCCAACTAATAACCCTAATCTAGGATAATAATCCAGAATAATCCATAATTTGTTTATCATAGGATCATAATCCACAGACAATCTCAGAGCTCCAACGAATAATGTAATCTAGGATAATAATCCATAATATTCCATAATTTGTTTCTCCTAGAAAAATATTCCATAATTTATTTATCCTAAAATAATAATCCATAATTTATTTATCCTAGGATAAGAATCCATAGGAAATCTTAGAGCTCCAACAAATATTTTAATCTAGGATAATAATGCATAGTAATCAGGATTTTTTTAAACCTAGGAGACTAATCCAAAAACTATTTATTCTAGGAGAATAACCCATAATAAATTTATCCTAGGAGAATAATCCATAATTTATTTTTCCTAGGAGAAAAATCCATAGTTTATCCTAGGAGAAGAATCCACATTTTTTTCCCAGGAGAAAAATCCATAATTTATTTATCCTAGGAGAATAATCCGTAATTTATCTATCCGAGGAGAATAATCCATAACCTGTTTAACCTAGGAGAATAATCCATAATTTATGTATCCTAGGAGAATAATCCGTAATTTATTTATCATAGGAGAATAATCCATAATTTACTTTTCCTAGTAATTTCCTAGGAGAATAATCCATAATTCATTTATCCTAGGAGAAAAATCCATATATTTTTTTCCCTAGGAGAATAATCTATGAAAATCCCCCGAAAATGTCCAGAATGATCCCTCGGAGCTCCGGACCGAAGTCGATCATCTTCAAACGCCTCAAAACTGGGAGCTGTCTGATTTAAGATGCCACAACTCGGGAAATCCCGCTAAATCAACCCTTGGGATTTAAGAATTAACCAATGAAGAATGGATTAGAATGGATTTGGGCCTCTGAAAAATAGGATATAGCCCCATATTTTGCAATGTTGATGTGGAAAATGATGACTAACCAGTGGAAATTTAGGGGTAACCACCTATTTTCAGACATACTCGAACATCTCAAAGGATCATTTTCTTGATCAAAAATGACTACAAACCAATAAACATTCTATAGATGATGTTTTTCGGACTATGGTATTCTGCATATGATTGATGTTTATAATTTATAAATCATAAATACCAATCATGAATAGATATGAATAGATATCAATAGATCAATCATGATCATACCTATTGATCAATGTCGGACTATGTTGTTCAAAGGCATTCTCCATAGGTGTGACTCTGAGTGACATCTTGACATGCAATACGGATCCAAATGGATCACACAACATCTGTCCATGCTGTCGTATGGTTGACGGCACATGGCCGCAACGTCACCACACACGTTATTGAGCGCGAGTGCTATTCTTGGGGAGGATGAGGATCCAGAGGCTGATGGTAGCAAAGATCAGAATGCTGCTGATGACGATGAGGAGATTAGGACGACGCTGTCGACACTGACGACAACGACGACTGCAATCATGATCAAATTGGCCATGATGATGATCATTATTCATGACACAGATGATTCAGAAATATTCAGAACGACCATCACAATGACTGTGACAACATAACGTATGACAACATATGGATGTGGGTCAAAATGGAAGACCTAGGGGACCACAGATGTTAGTCTAGTTTAGTATTAACCATCCATAATTTTGGGGTACCTAATTTTGACCCATACCCATATGACAACCACCCTTATGATCATCACATATCATGACCAAAACGAAAACGGCCGGTGACCTGACAGTGACCAGGTCACCGAAAAAAAAAAATCCGGATGCGGTCGAGCAGCAAATCGTTTGGAGGAGTGGTCTCGTTCAAATCCTTTTCGAAAAGCCAATTCCTCGGTCGAAAACCCAGGGACTCTGAAGAATTGTGATTGTCTAGGAAAATTGGCTACAAATCTATCTTGGTTAATCATTTAATCATGATGATCCCTATTGAAATTGCATTTGGATGGCATATATGATATGGATTCATATGGCGTATGGGTCAAGAAATGACAAGAATGTATAATATAGAATCTGGGACCGCCGAACCACTGAACCATGCCATTTTTGGTCCATGCCTGCCATGTCTAATTCCGGTCTCGCAAAGGTCAACGCTCAGTCCATCGGCAGAAACCTTCCCATTCTGAGGGATCTTTTGGGAATCGCAGCCAGAACCGAATCGATGTCGGGGTTTCACATGCAAAGATTTGGATCATTATGGTTCATGGATTTGGGGATGCCTCATTATGATGATAAATGTTTTGCTGGTGATGCTGATGATGATGATGATGATGATGATGACGATGATGATGATGATGACGATGATGATGATGATGATGGTGATGGTGATGGTGATGATGATGATGATGATGGTGGTGCTGACGATGATGATGGTGATGATGATGATGATGATGATGCTGACGATGATGATGGTGCTGATGATGATGATGATGATAATGAAAATGATGATGATGATGATGACGAGGATGATGATGACGATGATGATGATGGTGATGATGATGATGGTGCTGTCGATGATGATGGTGATGATGATGATGATGCTGATGATGATGATGGTGCTGGTGATGATGATGATGATGAGGAGGAGGAGGATGATGATGAGGATGATGATGATGATGATGATGAGGATGATGATGATGATGATGCTGATGCTGATGATGATGATGATGATGATGGTGATGGTGATGGTGATGACGAGGATGAGGATGATGATGATGATGATGATGATGATGATGATGATGCTGCTGGTGGTGGTGGTGGTGGTGGTGAGTGGTGGTGGTGGTGGTGATGGTGATGGTGATGGTGATGGTGATGTTTTAAGCATTCTTTAGCGTCATGAGGAAGGTCCTCTTTCATTCGGCGTACACCCTGCAACATTTATCAAACAGGTCCGAATTGAAACCTGCTGGGTCACATCATCATCACTTTCAGTACCATGGCAGAGATCCTGCTGTGCCACTCTTGAAGCGTGATGCAACAACCCCAGTAGAAATCTTACACATTTCATATGCATGTGTCTCTATATCTGCATACTTTCTATATGAAATCCATGGTCACCGCAGCCACCGCAGTCACCGCCCACCCAGGACTGGATTCGAATCGCTGAGGTCCGTACTCTGGACAGATGTCGCAATGTACAAATCCCAAGTTGTGCAAGTAGGCAACCGCCTGCGCGGGAATCATCGACACTTGCTGTCAATGAGAAGAAAAGCTTCCAAATCTATGAAAACCCCACGGTTCATCTTCATTCTCCCTATTAAAACAGAATATGTTGGATTATGTTGGGGGCAACAGCAGAGTGTTCAAAACGCCCGCGCTTTTTTGTGTCCAGCGACGGAGACTTTTTCTGGGTCGCTCCAAAATGGGATTCCAGTTGACCCACGAAGCGAGTCATGTTATTTAAGAACTCTTCGGTAAACTAACATGTTTCTCAAAATCAGCAAGTTTGAGTAAATGGTCATATATGATCATATGACTTAAATTAAGAGCCATCTTGCGACTTGCTGTGACTTGCCGTGTGCCACCTGTACCATCTGGTAGACAAGGACCGCCACATGGGCTTCAGTAAAGATGCGACCTCAGGCCGTGTATCCCAGTGCTTCATGATGCTTTGAGATTCAAAGTCACTATAGTCACTCTGTCAGCGCCTGCCATTGTATCCATTGTTAATAAGATTTGAAAGTTTCGCAAATCATCCAACTCATCAAAAGTTGCTTACAACTTGCGACGACTTTGCCAACCGTTTTGCCGATTTTCCCAGCTTTCCCAGCTTTCCGCGGTCCCAAGTTGGTTATTGCTCTCACATCGGTCCCCGGCTCCCCATGCGAGCCAGGTTGTTGAGATTGCCTCCCCGGCACATCTCCATGACCTGAGGGAACTGTCACTATGGATCCACCCTGTGATGAATCAAGTCGTTGAAGTTACGCCCATGAATATCCATGAGTACTCCCATGACTCTAGTTATAAGACCTTAGTTGGTGAACTATACTATAGTCACAACATGTCACAACTGCCATAAACTTTGCCATAAACATCCATAAACCATACTTATTGGAGTTGTGATAAACCATTATAAACCAATTTTGCTATCGTTCCAGGATGTTCGATAATGTTCCTCCCATACTTTCCAGGTTTTCCAACTCTTCGATCTCGACCCTGCTTCTCAAAATACTCAGCATTGCATGCTGAACATATCTGAACATAATTACAGTATATAACCCATATTATATATTATATAATCCATATTAACCTCAGAATGTCCCATATTAACCCATATTATATATTATATAATCCATATTAACCTCAGAATGTCCCATATTAACCCATATTATATATTATATAATCCATATTAACCTCAGAATGTCCCACATTAACCCATATTAATCCATATTAACCCATATTAACCCATATTAACCCATATTAACCCATATTAACCCATATTAACCTCAGAATGTCCCATATTAACCCATATTAACCCATATTAACCTCAGAATGTCCCATATTAACCCATATTAACCCAAATTAACCTCAGAATGTCCCATATTAACCGATATTAACCCATATTAACCTCAGAATGTCCCATATTAACCCATATTAACCCATATTAACCTCAGAATCTTGTAGGAAACCCATAGGTTTTTGATGCTTTTTGCCACCCTCCAACCTGGTGACTTCAGTGCTGAAAAATGTCGGCCAAACAAACGCCGAAGGGCCAAGTAAACACTTGTGGAATCCTGCCAGGTCAGGCGACCGACGCTACGGATGAGTTTTCAAATGGTGAACCGTCCATGAGTCATGGGGATACAGCCAATAGCTATGGAAAATCCCATGGAAAATCCCAGAAATCCCATGGAAAATGGATGATCTATGGAAAATCCCATATGGAAAATCCAAAAAAATCTGGAAAATCCAATGGAAAATACCATAAATGATGCTTATAATATGGAAAATCCCTATGGAAAATGGATGATGCCAATGGGATGCCAAAAATCCATCCAAACAACAACGGTTCTGGATTCTGAACAAGGCGAGTTGTGTCCCAAAAGCCGTCCTCAAAAGCGTCCAAGGTCTTGCAGATGTGCGGATGGTCCAGTTCCCTCAAACGTTCCACCTGGAAATCTCCACGAAACGACTGGAGCTTTTTTCATGGGAAAATTTGGCAACCAAAAAGGGAACATATGCCGTAAATAAATGGAGGTTTTTTTTTACTGGGAAAAAAAACTATATAATTGATGAATCGTCCAATGCCATGTTTGACAAAATCTTAGTCCCCTAATATTTTGGTCAGGGGTTAACAATCTAAGATGGAGGTGCAGTATCAAAAACAGGTGAAGGTAGCCATCAAGAACGGAGAGTTAACATTGTGCTTTCGATTCTGAAATGATATCAACATATCAACATGAGATGGTATCTTTACCTATCATTCAAAAAAAAAACCTAGCTCACATGTTTATCGTAGTTAACATTTTTTAATTTTTTGGCCAAGATTGCATCAAATATCCACATACTGATGGATACCAAATAAACAGATCCAGGAAAAAACACCTGATGTTTTGCTCCGGGAATACTGTACTGAAAAAGGGAAAAGGGAATAAAAACATGAAAAACATGCCTGGTTATTATAGGTTCAATCACCAACAATCATCCCAAAGTTGGTTTTTGATGTTTTTGTAGGTGATTAATTGAACCCTAGGGATAGAACATGATAAAACATGATAAAATAATCCCTAGTCCTTGGGGCTTCAATGGCCCACTGCGGATCCCCTCCGAGGACTGCACGTCTGCTCTCCAAGATGAACTGGATAGCAATTTCCTCAGACTCTGTCCAACCAAAGGCTGGGTCCCCGTGAGGAGTTCAAACGCCCCTGAAAAAGGCTGGAAGTATCATGGAAAATATGATGGACCGCAGGAAACTTCCCAGCAGCGGAATTTCATGGGAATGGTTCAGAATCAACAATCACCAGGAGCATATGGCACCACAGCTAGAAGAAAGAGCCCCAAAAGAAGGTAAGTTAGGTTCTCAATCTGACTTTCACGGATGGCATTCGGCTTCTCAACATGACCCCAAAAGTCCAAAAAGAGTCTGATTTTATCTAATGCATACTGTCCCATGGCTGTTGGATGGCAACTATACAAAAAATATGTTCTTTAATGTTTAGAAAAACATGAAAATCAACTCCCCATGTGCACAAAGTCTCAAACAAACAATGGGGGTCACAACACATGGTGCATACCTCTTGAATACTCGTGTATATTGACGTGCCTGAAAGTTCCATATACCCCAAATGGCAATTTAAATTGGCCGAAAATCATAATCACCCATTGATGGGGTTACTCTATTTTCAGACAAATCCACATCAGAGTGTTACGTAAATTCGCGCACATATAATATATATATACGTCTTACTTCTTTACAAAAATATGTGGTTTATCAAGAACAAAAATGTGGAAACAATGCACTATTAGGACAAAAAATATCATATACATATCAATCATATTATATATATATATTATAAAAATCTTATAAACTCCATATATATATACATATGCATGCATGCATACATACATACATATGTAGATACATGAATTCTATGTATCAACATATCTACTGTATTCTCCGGGTCGGGCCATTGCCGTCCCGTAGAGAGAGGGGCCGAGTCACTTGCTGATGCGCTTCAAGGCGCAGACTGAGTCGCTGGGCACGTGGACGCTCTCCACCTCAAAGCATTTATTTGGGAAAAATAAGGGGAAATCAACCACAACAAATAGCTATGATATGTATAGTGTGTATATGTATATACACACTATATATCTACATATACATTATTATATAATATGTGTATATAACTGTATATATACTATATGAATATATATATATATGAATGATGTGTCATTATGAATATGATATATCACATATATATATATGTATATACACACCCCTGGCTGCATCTTGATGCCTAAAAACCTTCCCAGTAAGGGCTCCGGGAGTCCGGACCACGGACCCCAGGGAGCAAATGCCCAGGTGACTCCGCCGATCCATCTGCGTCCGAAATTCCTGGCGGACCGAGGACCTTTTTGGTCCATCCGTGCACCGTGTCCGAACCACCCAAAACTTGAAATGGAACTAATGGTACCCTCTGGTAAATTAACATAGACCCTGAAAATGACCAATTTATAGTGGAAACTAGTCTTCCAACCCCTATCTGGCAGGGTCTATGTTAATTTACCAAAGGGTAAATAGGCTAATATCCAAACCAATATGCAATAGTTATAGTCATATATCATGTTATATCCCAATAGTTCACATTCTGATCTTCCAACCAAGCCATATCCAATAGCAACTTCTGATCTTCCAAAGACCATGATCAAGGAGCATTCAGGGGGTAAAAGGATGTAAAGTAAAGTGTATCAGCAACAATGGGTAAATCATGTCTGGGAAGACCCTGGTGAAAAGTTGGATGGCTGATTCGTTTGGTGTTTTGATGGGGATACATACTCTCCTCTTAAATAGGGGTTTCCATAAATGGTGGATCCCCAAAATGGATGGTTTATAATGGAAAATCCTATTAAACGGATGATTTAGGGGTACCCCTATTTCAGGAAACTTCCAGATAGACTTTCACTGAACCTGGCAGGGTATCTAAGACCAGCCGTGGGATGTTCCCGGTGTGACGACTGAATCAGGAAATCCCAAACAAGACCAAGCCGGCTGCCGGCTCCATGGAGGATCAACGATGTTTTGATGAGTGGCTCAACTATCTGTGCTGGGGTCAAATCATGGTATATTGATGTATTCAATTTATGAGTTTCTGATACCCTCTGGTAAAGTAACATAGCTATGGAAAATCACCAGCTTTAATAGGTAAATCAACTATTTCTATGGGCCATGTTCAATAGCTATTTTGACATAACCAGAGGGTAGTTTATGGTCATCTTCAATGGATTGATGAACATCCCCAGCTCTATCCATCAGACTGGTTCCCAAGAAACTGGCGATACAAATAATCCATGTGAATCAAAACATAATCCCCATAAACAATGGGGATATTCCCTGAAATTTAGGCCTGAATTTTATAGGCCTTATATATGGAATCGGTACCTCCAATTTAGGTTTCTGAAATGGCAATTGACATAAACATACATTAAAATCCCTGCGAGGCCATTCCAGCACAATTGAGTCGTGCTAAAAAACCACAGTTGATTCAATGCTTCATCTCTGGTAAACCAAATGATAAACCACCAAGAGGTATCGCAAGGAACCCCTCTGGCTATGGGATAAAATTCAATCAGCCCAATTATCATTAAAGTAAATTTAAATCCATTATTACTATTGTAGATACTCCTAACTGTTACTAACTATTATATAATTATAGAATTGTATACCCTTACCAAATAGTATGATCATGATGAATTACTCCAAGTCATCCAGATACCATCCCCAGCCCATCGGCCTCAGGTAGGGCCTTGCTTCCACTGGCGCGAAAGCGCAGCACCCCTCGCCTCAGGAACTGCCCATTGGGCTGTTGGATTGACAGAGGTGGAATTTTCACAAGAATCAGAGGAATCAGAGGTGTTTCTGGACTTTCCTCCGGGAAAGTCAAAGAACCAATCCAAGTTTCCTTGAGCTAATGTTCAGGATAGTTTTGATGAAATTCAACTGGAAATCATGGTGTAAACCACCATGATTTCCAGTCGCTGCTCGTCGGGGTGTTCTTGGGACTTTGTGTCCATCACCTCCAGGAATCAACATCTCTACATAGGTTATATATTTTGATGGATACCATAGGCTATATAGATGGATATCCATAGGGATATCATAACATCTATATACAAAATATATATAAATATATCATGGCTATCCGAATCTAAC